CTGTTCTCTAAAAGCGAAAGGGACCCGTGCCTTTGTGTAGACTGTCGGCGACATGAACCCCCTCTCGGCTACACCGAGTTTGCCACCCGGGTTGGGGGGGGGGGGGGTCACGTCCTGCCCTTAAACGGTAGGCGGGCATCCAGGGCTGTGACCTTTTCCATGCATTAGTTTACCATAGTACGTGGTACTGCCACACATTTTGTGTAAATATGCATTCACTCTTGGTTTACATGACAGTTATGGAGGGTATGCTGTAGAAAGTTGTGGAATATCGAAGTGTAGTTTAACGTGCTGTCGTAATATTTTCATTTGTACATTAGTTCTAATTTGGATGTAAATACTGTATAGATTGGATATGTTTGCCGTTTCCTCACAATATTGTGGCTGAAACCTCAATGTCAAATTTTCCCTCCGTTTTGTTACGTGAAGCTATGCCACATGTACAGATAAGCTGTATAGTTTGTAACAGGACATTGTTAAAGTATTTATGTGAGAATAAATTGAGTACTTTTTACAAAATACAAAGTGTTGGTCTTGTCCTGTCTTACTGCAGCCGACCGGGGTGGATCTCATGTGATTGGCTATGTGGCTCCGTAGTGCTGGTCTAGCCAATCACAAAGATGGGATCATATGAATTAACCGACTTCTAATGTAGTTCCTGGGCAGGTTGAAAGTCTTTTTTGTATTCATGGAATTTGGCTTTAAAAATCCTCTAATGGGGTTTAGCACAGAATGGATTTCATGTTTTATGTAAGCATAACATGCACAGATGACTTACACCAACCGGTCGATCTCCAAGACTTCCATAATTGATGATGACCACAACCTAACGACCACCCCAACATCAGCAAAATCTACTCAAGGGGATCCCCGTTAGGTTGGCAAAATATATCAAGGGCGACCATCACAACTCTGTAGCTACCCAGATTATTTTGTGTTTAAAAGTAGCTGTCACGGTACACAAGTTTGGAGACCACTGCTTTCAGTCTGTACATTATGGTCTGCAATGTTAGCAAACCGGAAAAGAGCAGCCCTAGAATGACACTGAATGGGTAACCGGAGCTGGCGGCTAAATGGCGACAGCTTGACCACCTATATTTCTTTGGTTCCATCCTTACGGCATGCAGCTGATAGACCTGCCAGCCTGATAAATCGGATCAAAGTGCTATGAAGTCTTTTATCTGTCAGTCTGTCTCTCTATATGAAGTGAGTGTCTTGGATCAAAGTATGTCTTTCTAACAAAATTCTTTATTCGTTCATGTATTTGTATTTTAATGAAGAAAGAGTATGATTAAATGTGTATCACGAAGCACAGAATTTTTTTTATTATTAATTTTCAAATGCATAGTTTATTTTCATTTAAGGGGTGAGATTTTCGGTCTATAACGTACATTCCTTCACAGGGAACATGCACATGTCAGGAAGGGATGGAGTACATGGGATTACTTGTTTTACACACGTGGTGATAAAAATAAATGTCTGGAGATACAAACTTCAGCCACAGCGCAGCAAAACATGCAGTACGACATCCTCTCTCAGCTTCCCCAGCTCCCTCGACAACTTCCCACAGACCCTCCTTCTAATCTACAAACTGTCCTTCGAAAGATTTGCGGACACAGAGACATTAAACAGTTGGAAACGGTTAACGGACCAAAGGAGAGGTGTGTGAAAACTACACAGACACTACAATTTTTTGGCAGTTTTTCTAGTCATGTAAATGGAAGGACAGAATGAATAAAAGATTTACAGTGTAATAAAGAGCTAAATAGTACTGATCACTCAATAGCTAACCCAACTGTACTAGCAAACCATAAATCGTTATTTCAGTAGTACAGTGCATTTCAGAAGGGCATTTATATCTACTACTCTTTAACAACAGCACCAAAATGATAACCATTAATGTATTAAGCAGGTCTGTTAAAATGGCACATTGCCACGAGAGCCTTCACAACCATCAGAAGATACCCCAGCTTGACGCTCCTCACTTTCCAAGGCCACGCATCCTACTCGACACATGCCTGACGGGTACCTTTCATTCGCACATATAGACAGACAAATGTTTTATTCTGACGACGGACGGACAGTCGACTTGGGTATTCCGAGAGGGAGTCAAAAAAAAAGGTTAGCCTCGAAATTGTCCCGAGTAAACAAGACACCACAGGACATCGACAACGTTTAGTATCCAACAAGTCAAAGCCACAAAAGAAGGAAAAAGTTGAGAAGAGGAGGAAAAAAAAATCCCCAAAGCCTGAGCTTATGAGGGTACCATCAAAGAATTCAAAAACAGTTCTCGTTTGAGGATGAATGCATGTAGACTTCAGCCATGCGGTGTTTTAGCACTACCGCGTGGCTGTCTATATAGCAAGGCAAGCTGCTTTTAGTGCGTTACAAGCCGGCTGAGGTGTCAGTCTTCCACGTCGATCTTTTTTGGAATTCTTTGCTTCTCTTTACTATCAACCGCTTGTTGGGTTGAGGTTGGATCTTGAGGTGGGACGTCAGCGTTTGGACGGCGATCGGGATCGGCGTCCTCCCTGGTCAAAGAAGGGGATTGGGGGGTGGGGTTTATAAGATGCTGATGACCACTGAACCTCAAGGACACTTGACCTATCACAACATAGTTTAGATACATTCCTGAATGACACCTGTACACCACATTAAGGAAAGAGAAACGAGTTTTATAGACTGTCAGGCAGAATTTTTTTGCTGACTAACCGCTGGTCACGATGTATTTGGAGACAAAGTTAAAAACTTATCTCTGAAGTTGACTGAATTCATACATGTGTACTTTAATTTTTACATTCCATCAGCCCACTTTTGCTGAGAATTGGCCAAGCAAATTCAGTCATTTAGAAGTAGATCACTTGTGATATATAGATAAGTGTATGTAAACTCTTTGAAAGATTACATGCTAGTATTGCAATAAGAAACATATCATCTTGTTCATGGATGAAATTATCTTTGTGCTTAATCTTAAACAAGTATTAAGAATTGATTTTCCTACAGAAATGACCATGCAACAGGTACAAGTACGAAGCAGATAAGTTGAGAACCATCTGAATAATAAAGATCCATTTTCTATGGAATTAAATGGAAATTGAAGTGGTATTTTAAATAAGTTCCATTTCTCAAACAATCCAATATCTAATAAAATAATAATAAAAAAAAATGAATTTGTGTAATCCAGGTCCATTAACTCTACAGAACAGTGTTCAATATTTATGACTATTGTAACACAGCGTAACACTAAGAGCAATCATCAAGGATGTGTTTGTTTGTTGTAATGTTTTTTTCCTCGTGGTTTTATCATGCATAAACCATGAAATAACATGACTGTAGACTTCTACAAAGTTTTGTCGAACATCAAATGCAAATCACTTCAAATACATAATTAATGAATAATTAAGTCCTAGTGCCTTGTTTCTGATGTGTTCAGAAACTAACTCATTCTTGTTTGGGCAACTAATTGAAAGAAACGCCAAAAACTTTGCATCTTTGATCTGTATCTAACATCACTGTTTTTAATTCGAAATAAGATGCAGTGAGAGTTGGCCAGCACCATGAATCGTCGCAATGTGTGTGTTAGAAATGACCACGATGGAGGTAAGCGATGGTGGACAGATTACATAATGGATGAAAGCTTGGGGTTATGGGTAAAGCAGAGTGGAATTGCAGTCTACAAATACTACATGCTGGACAGTCATTTATCCCCACCCATACACCCCCCATGTTACCTAGGTGCTGGAGAGTCACTCCGCCACACCACCATGCTACAAAATCCTTAGCCCCTCCTTATTATTTGAATATATGAAGACTCTGGGGTTTAGCTTGAACAAAATGACTTTGCTTACACATCAACCTTTCACAGTTCGATAGGCCCTCTGAGCCGAGGCACCGGCATCCAGGGGCCTGGATCTAACCAGACACACTCTAACCCTGCACTGGTACAGAAGATGGATGGATTGAACCAGGTAATTGGGGTCATAGATTCAACACCAGCAGGTGACTGGTTCAAATCCCAGGAAAAGGTCCCACTGCTTGGATTCTTCGCTAAGGTACTAAAAGGTGCATATGAAATGATCACCTCTGTCAGTGTGTAAAATGAGTAGCTGTGAATGAAAGCTTAGCCAGTGAAGTGTTACAAATTAGCATTAATTTTCACTGATTACTTACTGATCCCTGATGATAACTGGGCTATCATCACTGTGTTGCAGGAGAGAGAAGCAGTGAGAGGGAGACAAAAGGAGGAGTGAGAAGGATGACTTTGGGAGGGAACCTTTCTGCAGTGCGCGTGCGGCCTGATTGTCTGGGTGTGTGAGGTGTGCAGCCTGGGTCTGGGCCTGCCAGAAGATGTTCACTTATTTACCAGTTTGAAGAGTTTGGAGAATGTCCCCTGACCATCGGCCCCACGGCGTCCTTTGAGGGGCGACTTTGCGACCTCGTAGAAGCGCGCTGGCGAGGACCTGCGGTCCCCCTGCAAGACAAGGGTTAGTCAGCAGCAGCTGCGGCTGAATCGGGGTCCCAAATCCGGCCTGCGAGCCTGTCCGCTCTCAGGGGGAGCCGGAGACCCCAGCCAGCGGAGGCCTGAAGGATCCAGTGCGGGTAAACAGCTGGCTGTCCACTGGCTGCATGCAGAAAGCAGCCTAATAGCCAGACGCCTGTTATTCCAGTTAGAGATGTAAGACTATCTGGCATCATGGAGTCAGATTATGTATATGGATACAAGGGGAGTGCAATTGTTTGTGAAAGCTGGTAAAAAAAACAGTCAGCAATCATTGGTGTGATAAAATTGACCTTTCAGAGAAAAAACATGGAATTGATCGTCAGATTACATTACACACTGCCGCCCATGTCACATTCGTAATAGGTTCTGTCCTGTGGAAAACATCAAACGTAGAATGGATATGTGGGTGGGGTGATAGACTGATGAAGGTGAAGTTAATGAGTCCACCGAGGGGTATCTGTTGATGGGGTGGGGTGGGGGGGGGGAACCAGAACAGCTCCCACGAGGGTCTTTACCGGGTGAGGCTCAGAAAGAGTCCAGCTGTGTCAAAGTCATCCAGTACCAGTGAGTCACTCTGGATTAAAGTGTCAGAGAAACAGAGTAATACTCAATAATAGTGATATCACAGACTGCCACAAGGGCGGTGCTCTTGTGTTGCTATGTTTCCTATTAACGAACCATTTTACTTTAAAGGGAAATGGTGGGCATATCCCCATAAACCACACGCTACATTGTTAACACTAAAAGCTGAAAAAGCAGATTTGTTCACTCAAGTTGTGAAACTTTCCACTGCAAAAATGTGATACTCTGAGGATATACAAGTTTATAAGGTTGGTGAGGGTTTTGTGCCTTCTTTCAGTGGTGTGGACATAAAATTACCAACTACTACTAAAACAATTTATCTGTGTCAGAATGTGTTCTTCTACTGTGCAGTAATTGTTATAAATTCATTATAGAACCAACTGACAAGAAGCTGAGGTAGATATAAAATTGGTCACCAAATATCCAGATTTCCTGTAAAAGGAGAATCAATCAAAAACTGCAGGAGGAAGGAGAATATGCAGAGACTTGTTTTAATTAACAGCAATTAATCACAGGAGTGTCAAAGTCCTCGAGTGTTACAATGCACTAAACATCTTGAAGGTGGAAAAGGAGATGGTCTTTCAGGTGAGCACAGCATACACAGGTAGGCATGGTGCTATGGAGGAGGCAGTGGTAACACTTTACTTAAGGCCATGTTTTTAGTCATTTATAAACACTCATAATGCAATACAATGCATTCATAAAGCATTATAAACATGGCTATAAAAATTTATCAAAAGGCATGACACATTATAGCTATGCTTACTATGCATTATGAATGCTTTATGAAGCTGCCATCTATAATGCACTATAGACACCATCATAATGCAGTACAAAGCATCCTTAATGCTTATACCAACCATTAAAATGCACTATGAAGGTATTTATAGTGCATGACAGAGAGAACTTCATAAAGCATTCATAATGCATAATAAGCATGGCTATTTATAAATATAGCCATGTTTATAGTGCTTTATGAATGTATTATTATTTGTTATGAATGTGTTTATAAATTACTAAAAACATGGCCTTAAATGTTACAGAGCTGTTAAGTGGAAGCAGCTGGGGAAAGTAAATGTTATCAGTCAGTACAACTGAGAGTATCGGCAGGAAAACTCAAGAAGCAGAAGGAAAAACAGAAGGAAAATTATAATTAAATTGACGCTGGATTGAGACTGATATGGGTTAATAGGTTGGGGGTGTGGCTTATTTTAGGTATACATTAGAGTTACCTACCCAGCCTAATTTGGCAGACAGTCCTCTCCACTGCACATGAAAGAGACCGAGATAGAGGGGTCATGGAGAGACAGGGCTAACAATGACAGCCATAACAGTACTGCTGGACACCAACAGACCAACGCGGAAACAGCCCATTTAGTTCCCGAGAAATAGCCAGCGGTGTGAGACGGAACTCACCCTGGATTTAGGACGAGGTGGGGACACCTGTGAAGAGATTCAAAGAGAAATGGATCAGATCCAAACTGTCTATCCTTACTGTCAGTCTCAGTCAACCTAGGATCCTAAAAGGTACTGTTTCAGGACACACAGGTCGGTGAGCAGTTTGTGCGTGTGCGTGTGTGTGTGTGTGTGTGTGTGTGTGTGTGTGTGTGTGTGTGTGAGCTTGTGTTAGTTCGTGTTCCCTGCCATCAGGGGTGAAGCCCAGTCTTGTAGCCATGTTGTCAGGGATAACCCACAATACCCCCCCCCCCCACCCCTGTGATCCTGTGGATCCAATAACTACTTTACTTTGAACTTAGGTATAACTACTAGCCGTAATTGACTCTGATTTCCTGCTGGCTGGGGAAAACTACAAACAACAAATCATGCAGGTTATTTTCAGTCTTTTTTTCCCCCCAAGAATTTCCACGGGGCCAATAAAGTTTGTCTTAAACTACATTTGGCCTGTGCTTGACAGAGCTGTGAAATTACACTGGTTCCTCCCATTAGCCCCTGCCGCCTCCATTGCTTGAGTGATTGTAAGGAGGTCCCGGCGATGCTCACAATGCTTTTGAAGAAATGGACCACAGCATTGTCGTGCCCACGGCGGCGGGCAGAGGAGTGCAGGGGCCTTTGCGGAGAGGCAGACAGGTGGGCCCGGAATGACCCCTGGGGGGGGGGGGACAAGGAGAAACCACACATTGTTCTTAAAAAGTACCAAGACTTCCAGGAGTCACACATATTAGTACGCTGCAATATGGCAGAGTTCATCTAAACAGTTTCAGGCAAGGGAATAAAACCAACAACCTCCCCATGACAAGGTATTGAACTTGAAGTGAGATTTTTAAGAATGACAAAGTGAAAAAACTGGACCGAACCAGTGAATATAAAAATACTGCCTTTGAACTACTTGACCACCGGACATATGCCTCTTATATATAATCAATTCAGCAGACGAGTTCTGTCCCTTGTGTTTCTCGTGATTCAGGTAAATGTGGGGGGCTTGTGGTCTGCCTCAGAACTGGTAGGGTAGTCATACATGATTACATGCTGTCCTTCAGACCCTAATGGTGTTACTACAAAGCTGAAGTGGAATGCATTCTATTCATATCTAGGTCTTGTTTACTTCAAAGATTAAAACACAGTTCTGATTATGAAAGGTTTCTGGAAAAGTTGCCTTCTACACGCAAACAACTAATTACGTCAGTCCGCGCTTGACCCATCAGTGAGTCATTTGCAGAGGATGCAAATAGCATGTTTATCTACAAAACACAGCTCGCTCACAAGCAACATTAAATACACTCCAGCTTTCATATGGCTGCTTTACGAACAGATTAAGTATCATTATAATTTTTTTTACAGCTTCAAACTATTATTTTCCATTCCCATATATTATAGCCCCTTACAACAAGATGTGTTGCCTAAAATCAGTATTTCAACCACAAAAACTGAAATATGAGGAATTGTCTGTGCATATGAGTTTTATGGACAGAAAATACACATTCTGTTTAATATGTATCCAGTTAACAGTCATACTTGTGTGTAATTTTAAATGCCTAATGAGAAATCTGTTGAAAGAAACTCACACCTATCTAATTTCCCCTCTAAATGGGTGCTCTGGACAGTTTAAAGTCTTGGTGAAAAGCAACCATTTGCGTTCTGCAGCCAAATGGTGGTCAGTGCACAGGACTCCTTTGAAGGACTGAAAAATAAAAGCAGGATATTAATAAGCATTAACACTGAAAGTTACTGCCACTAACCCGGGAAATTATGGAATCAGAAAAGGCCCCTTTTATGTTTTGAGTTCTGGAGATTTGAGCTACTGAAGTTTCACTTTGGTGATAGTATCACCAAAGCGAGTGATCTGCAGATCATGCTTAAATAATGCAGGATCTTCTTTTCAACGTAATTTGTCTTTCATCATTCCAAGAAACCAGAACAGCCGTCTTCTGAGTCTGGCGACATCAGTTTATTCAGATCAGTTTCACTTCCCCAGGTGTTTTACAGAAAGATGCACGAAGCTGCCAGAGAAAATGAAGATGTCCATAGATTTACTTGGGCTGTTAATAGCAGGTGATCTGGGGACCCCAACAGCAAGTCTCCATCTTTCTGCAGGTTTTAGAGGTTTCCAGCTTGATTAGCATTTCATTGCTGCTTTGAACACCAGCTGAAGTGACTTATATCTGTACAGTATAATCAGTAATAAAGCATCTAAGATTCACTGTAGAAAGACATCCAGGGCACCTTGGGCCTGGTGCACTAGGGCTGGACAGCTTGGATTTATAGTACCCAGTATAGTACCCAGTACAGTACCCAGTATTACTCCTGGTGTTTGGCAGAACTTTCAAGATTCCCACGAAAATAAGTGGATTCTTGATCAGTTTTAAACCTGAACTTATACTTCACAGAAAATTGATCAGATTGAAGCTTATTTTGGGCATACTATGAGATAACTCGGCACAACGGAAAGGAGCGGAACGTTCTGGAATATGGGACATTAAGGAGAAATGCAGTCAATGTGGTAACCAGGAGTCGACACTGGCTTCACAACACGTAACCATGATGCTATGTTTTTACACTTCCACATTAAGGTGGTGTGTAAAGACCTTAGTGAACCAGCAAAGCTCTCGATTGGTTGATCTTTCCTCCATGTTTCTGCAGGACACCCATTACACAAGGAAAAAGGGTAATTTTGCTTAAAACGTATTCAACATTTTCTTATTGAATTATACAGCTGGTAAGAATATTGCAGAGGTTACAACGGCAGTTATAAAGCATTACTGTGAATCACTGAATCCTTTGAAACCTTGAATTCCTATTTTATGTACAAAAAGAATAAAAAAAAATATATTCAAACTTTTTTTTCCCCACAAAGCTGTGTCAGGTCCTTTAAAAGTGGGGAGAATTTAAACTCTGTCAAAAAAAAAAATGTTTGATGGAGTCTGCTTAACAAATCAGTATTCTCACCCAAAGTACGGCTAATTAGGAAAAGACAGTATTGTGCCGTGGGAATAACTTCATATATAGTAACACCATGGCTGAAATAAATCAAATTAGAGAAATTGAAGCAGATTGATCCCTGTAATGTGTCCACATAAGCCCACATAATTGGGTCAGAATGTACTGAAAAAATCATTTTTATTTTGTAATCCTGATTTAGCAGTTTGAATAATTTCATTTGATGTTAGGGTATGGCTTAGAATTGCACAATTATAGACATAATTAAGTCTTTTCTTAAAGACTTAAAATTCTCTTTATTGTTATACATTGCAAATGATAGAAACACTATATATAACTATACCGATTTAGCTCAGTAGTGTCAGACAGTAAAATGAATCCATCCTTTTCTTATGCCCCTCATCTAATTTGTCTGATGCATTCAGAATTAATGTATATCTTTTAGTGTAACTTCCATGTTGTCGCTGTTGTCCATACATTAGATGATCCACCCAAAGCTGTGGAGCACGAGGAGCTAAGTTATGCAAGTTCTGAACACGGTCGTCATGGAGACCGACTGCGGAGCCGGTGACCACACATCAGGCAGTGTAACAGTGGGTCACGGTCAAATGATGAACCACATTAACGTGCATAAAGAACACGAATGAAGAACTGGATCTATACAGTAGTATCCAGGAAAGTTAAAAAAAAACCTGGTCAGTATTAACTGCGTACAATGCTGCTTAACTGGAAAAGTGTCTATTGTTAATTGATATATAAATAGAGAAATGATCTGTTTAGCCTTTACTTTTGGTGGTCATACTCCCAATAAAACATATTTGGTACATCATATTCTGGATTATCATTTGACTGTTTTAAAAATGAAAGTTCCACTGATGAAAACAACAAATAAATAATTTAATACCACATTTTGATATTTAATTTAAATAGATCATTAGAGATATTACTTAATCCACATTACTAAATCCTGATAGCATTATAACGGAATTTGTTGTATCTGACTCTCCCTAAATAAACTGTTACTCACAAAAAACATCAATTTAGCTGTCCAAAATATCAGAATGCACAATTGAAAGAATTGCATATATGTGGCTGATTTACATTACAAGCAGGCAAATGCTTGGGAGGCCAAATGTAATTGTCATTCTTTTCCCTCTCAGCCTGCACTCTAAAATGTTTACAAGCTTTTACATTCAGTGAGTAACTGTAATCAGTTAAAGTTAATTAAAATGCATGAGCAGGTCCATTAGGGTGTGGATGGAGTACAGTATCTAATGTAGCAGTTAGGTAAACTGTTTAATCTGAATAGCATCAAAATATGTGTGCAACTGCATGTTACAGGACTGAACTACTGCATGTTCTGAACTATATATATGAATTTAATCAAAATTTATAATGCATAGAGAGAAAAGCAGAATGCCACAGGGTACAATGCCACATCATAAAAACACGGCCGCCTAGAGCTCTTTCTCCTAGGCAATGACATGAAAACAAAAGTACATAACTATGTATGTTCAGTATTTTTGTTCCACGTGCAGCTATCAAGCCGTGACACTGAAGCCTCCATTTGAGACATTGCCCTAATGCCGAATGTGAGACATGATTTTCATTAAACCCTGTTGTTTATGTACTTCTTTCCATTATGTGCTCTCTGCCTTAATACTATTTTTAGATGCACTATAAGCCCGTCAGTGCATTTCATTTCCTCAAACAAAAACATTTCCACTAGAGTAATATATTCCAACAATCAAACAGGAACGGGAGACGGGATATTTTTGCAATAATTTTCTGGGAATGATTTTCATTTATCAGATGAAAACTCATACTGAGTATCTTCCCCAAATAAATATCATGCTCACCTTGCCCTTCCTTCTCTTGTCTCCTCCAAAGAACCTGCCAATCTGGTCCAGGATACCTGGGTGACGTTTCCTCCTGCCCAGGCCAAAGGGGCTTTGCCCTGAGGTGCTTGCGGTGGCCATGTTAGGTGTCGCTAGGCTTGGTCTCTCTGGCCCGAAGAACTTCAGTCCGTGTCCTGCTCAGTAAAATCCGAACCACCCTCTGGTCCCACCGTGCTCTGCTCCCCGATGGTCTGCGGCTCATCCGAGGTGGAGAGGCGGTCTTTGAAGGTGTTGTTCTCTGGCCCCGGGGCATCTTGGGAGAAGAGGAGGAGCGAACGGAGGCGGATGGTGGTGGGGCCAGCTGTGCTGGCATGAGGCCAAGCATTCTTTGGACCCATTGCTCCCATGGAGTCAGTCACCGTTGTCTTCTCTGAGGACTTCCCATTGTTCTGGTCCACATCTGCCTCTCCCTGGCCTGCAAAATAACAAGGGTCATCTATGGACTTGGGCCTGGTGCCGAACAGCGTCTCGCACAATAGCGGAATTGTCAGAACGGCCCTCTTCTGTTGGGTCTTGGTATGAGAAGATTGAAAAACAGACGAAGGGATGAAGGGGGTGAGATAAGTTTTCAGAAGGCGCTGAAGCCATCAGCTGTTGACCTGCAGGCATTGTCATTCGCTCTCTCTACCTGCCCGTTTTCCACCTTCCCACACTCAGCATGGCCTCACACAAACAACAGCATATGTAGACCTGTCCAAAAACACACTCAAGAAACGTGCATCCTTCTTATTCCCTTGATTGTTTGCCGTTCCTGGCATGCCTGGACCTCATCCCAGGAAGTTGAGGATGGCTGCCCCTTGTCAGGGTTACACTTACACACTCTGGGCAATTTGGAGTCACATATATTCACTTAAACTGCATATGTTGCTGCTGGAGGAGACACAAAAAAATCCACGTAGGCAGAGACAAGGCTCGACCCAAACCCACAGCTCTGGAGGTGTGAAGCTACAGTGGTACCCAATAAAGCACTGAACTCACTCAAAAATGAATTAAATGAATAGCATTTTAATGGTATATATTTTAATCTGAGATTGACAATATGGGCACAGAGACCCTAAGATCAAACTCATCTGGAAATGTGATGTCTTAAGCCTCAAAGATTTGGCTCCTTTGCTCACAGCCGTTGATGCCGCCCATGAAACAATGCAGACTCTGTAGTGTCCTAACTGATGCAACAATACAATAGCGCACTGCCTGTTCTTAACAAACGCTCTTTGTTTTCCTTTTGCCATGCCGATAAGAAGTAACACTTTTAAAGTATGCTTCTATTAAACGAAATGCACAAAAACGCTTGAGAAATTTCAAAACCGCTGCAAAAACTGACAATAGCATTGGCCAAACATCTTAAGGGGTAAGCAAGGATGCAACAGATATCTCAATCAAGACTCATTCACCAGCAGTTTTCAAATTGGCCAGTGGGAGGACCCCTATAAACCTTGATGAACTAGCATGGCATGAAAATATCTTCTTCATGGAAGTTCCCTTAAGGTTTAGCAGTGGACCCCCCCACCCCCACATCTCTCCTCATTTTGCACAATGTGGACTGTAAAGAAGGAGGGGTGGATCTCGAGAAGTGATCATGACAGTGACTTTTGTTGTCGAGTTACACAAGCCGAAATCAATGAATGAAATAAGCGATGGCCATTTTCCAGATCTTCATTCAGTCCACAAATGTGAGGTCTTGTCAAAAGACCTTGAGCCTCTTAAATGATAAAGCTTATAAAACAAGAAACATGTTGCACTCATGCTCAAGGAAGGATCTGGGTTTGTTTCCCACAAAGCAGGACTTCCCAGTCAGCTGGATAACTTAAGCCAAACGTGAAAACTGTCCAAAAGGAAGAGAGGTAGCTGACATTCCTATTGGACAATCCTTACATTTGGCTCAAATCATCTGGTTAATGAAGAAATCCTGCTTCGTGGAGCACCCCCAGGTGTTTCATCTCCAGAAAAATGAAAGATGTGACACGACAGGGGTAGCAGAGACCAGTACCACCCCAGCACTATACACAGACAACCCCACAGCACCTACGTCCACCAGATAACACCCCAGAATGACAGCCCCGAGGGGGGGGGAGCCTGACACGTTCTCCAAAATAATAACCATTTCCTCCCTAACCCTCCCTAATGTTGTTTGTTACTTTAAGGAATCAATATTCCATCAAAATAAAAAAAAAATGGTTTCCTGAGGATAATACAAAAAATGACTGCATAATTTGTATAGATTGAATACATTGCTGGTCCTACTAGCAGAGGTAAACAGCAGAGTATGTATTTAGTGCTCGGACGTGTGAGCAGAAGTTGAGCTCCACAGCGACAAACCGGAAGCTGCTGTTTATGGAAATCAGAGAGTGGGGCAGTCAGACTCACGTCTGAATGTTTTGGGGGAGCCAGCTCACGGGAGAAGGGCATCGTCGACACTGCAGTGCTGTCAGCTGTGGACACTGGATGAATCTCAGGCTCCAGAGCTTATAGTGCTTTGGCTGTGTTTCAGGACAGAATTGGCAGCTTCCTTGATGACCTTGGGAGTACCGTGGAGAAACCTTCCATGCTGAGCTCACATGAGTCCATCAGGATCCAGGCTGCTACAGCTTGTGCCAATTAGTACACGTGCACTACAATTAAATCTGTCGACTCCGCTGCCTTCCCTCTACAGCCTCTTCTCTACTGTAATGAACAGCACAAGCAGGCTGGACCCATCTGCTGAGACCTCTCTCTTGTTCACAGATCACTGAGTGCCATCAGAAGCCCGTGGGTGGGACTCTGCCCATGTCATTTGTGCTAAGGACTAGCCACGTGCTACACAGGCCTGTTAATGGATAATTTACATCGACATGCCAACACCAACAATGTGAGGTTTATGAGAATCACCTAAAATGCTGTTTAAGTCAAAAGATCTGCTTGTCTTGCAATTTTTTTTTTAACGATTTTATGATTAAAGTATGGAAACGTTCAAATTGTCCCGTTTTCCTGATTTCCAAGCATGTTACCCCAGTACTACAACTAGGAGTCATAACTTAAAAACAAGCAAAGTTCTTGGTAGGGCAGCTGGTATCGCTGTCACTGTCGGCCTTAAAGGTCACGGGCAGCTGGTATCGCTGTCACTGTGGGCCTTAAAGGTCACGGGCAGCTGGTATCGCTGTCACTGTGGACCTTAAAGGTCACGGGCAGCTGGTATCGCTGTGACTGTGGACCTTAAAGGTCATGGTTAAAGGCTGCACAGTGTACATGTACAACACTTTTATGAAATAATATTTTACTATAAAACAGTACTTTGCACCTTTAATTGTATTATTATTGCAGCATTCAGTTATTAGACTTGATTACTTTTCTAACAAATGTTTCAAAAGATGGCATTTCTGCAAGGTGGAGATATGTAAAGCAGCAAAACCATTGTTAATTCTACATACAAGCTTTTTACTAAAAAGGATATTTTCGGATGTAACCCCTTTGTACTCACCAACATTTCATTACATATTAATAGCTGTAACTTATTACAATTACATTTATCTTGTAATTTGATTGTGTAACACTGTTACATGTAACGTACATGTACATGTAAGTTACTCCACAACACTGACAGCAAGAACGTTCTCTGCCAACTTTGAAAAGGCATTGGCTAAAGTTCTGGGAACGTTGCCTATCAGCTGGGTTTGTCTTAGCTTAGGAAACACTTTATATATTATATGCGTTTTGAGGAACATACTATTTCTGGGTTTAAATGTGACATCTGTGTTTAATTGGCTCATTAATTGCATTGAATGGCTGCTAATGGTTAACCTCAATCATTCCGGGAGTCTGTCTGCCCATTTCACAATAGAGTTTATTTATTACAGACCAAAGGACTTGTCATGTGAAGTTTTTGCTTTGATGGCAGGCATATCAAGGCTATTCCACCACCCAGCTTCTGCTGTGACAGTACAGTGCAGCTGTCGATCTGTTCTAAGCAACGTACACTTTTATTGACTGGACTTTAAAGTACTAAAATAAGGAACTTTGCAGCACTGCTGGTAAGTCTTACTGTATATACAATCAGGGGAACAGCTAGAGATTTAGGGCCCGATTGAACCATATCGTACTGGGCCCCCAACCCAGATAAATCCTGTTACATTCCAAAATTTTTTAGGGTTACTGTTACTCATGTGCCCTTGGAATTTTCCTAACTTTCTCTCAGCCCTTTAAGGTGCATCTTCAATGTGATTAATTACATCTGTCCTGCATATTCTACATATTAGCATTACTCATCCATCCATCCATCCATCCCTCTTTTCACAGCTAATCCAGTCCCTAAGCGCATTGCTCATTAAAATCTACCCAGCTGTTGGTTGCCATGCTGTGCCGCTCACATATTCTCTGCCTTTCACGTTGTAGACCTCTTACTTCCCTGGGGTTCATTTCCCAAAATCATACTGACTGAATGGTTCCAACTATGCAAGTTGCTAATGGGCTCTATTGGGAAACGTAGCCCTGATTGGCTGCAGTCCCTTCCTCTCATCTCTGTTAGACATGTTCAAGGATGCAGCATGAAATAGGTGTTTTTTTTATCTCCATACCGGCCCCCACCCATAGTCCATGCAGTGTTTGCAGTGGGAAGGACACCCATGGCTCTACTATCATAAGTATGTATGCGAGCAAAGTAAAGAGCTTTGTCTTGGGTGGGAGGGCTGGGGGCTGTTGCATGGACTCTTCACTAATGTACAAAGCAAATGGAAAGAAAAAACACTTTGTTCTCTCTGTGCTGCTGCGCTGATCTTGGGGATGAAAGACTGTCACAATACCACGGCCCGAAAATAACATTTAGCAATTATCTCACTGGCTGACACAGGAGCTGAAAGGGTTGAGGGGCTGCTTAGTGTTCAGTCGTGGGGCCCTTGCAGCATGCAGTGTCCCAACCAGTGTGCAGATCCTTGGACATACAGCTTAGGTCCAAACGCTTCTTAAAAATACTTTGCACTTAAGGTATATACTGGTAAATGGGAAATGCAATTTATGCTAATATGCTAGCCACTGCTAACATGTTTCTATACTTGATCTCAAGGCTATGAAGTCTGACATGACAAAACAGTAAAAAGAGTATTAAAAAGCTTTAGCTCAATGTTAATGTTGAATCTTGTTAGAAATGCTTATATTTAGGAGATTTTGAGGTACACGGATTTATGGCTGATTGACATTTCACAATTTGACTATTCACAATGGATAATGTTTTCGCCTAGGTTGTCACGATGCTCGGAAGGTCTTCAGGAGGTGGAAAAGGTGTTTGTCTCACTACCCCCACCCAAGACCAGACCCTCTGCATGAGGCCTTTCGTGGTGGGCAGGAATATGCTGAGTCCCACCCCCACCAAGACATGTTTGGCAGGAGGAGGGGCTGGGGTCATTAAAGTTCAAGGTTGCAACAATGAGAGCTTTGGAGATTTGTAGTGGGGCATAAACATGGCAGACATTCTCTAACCATGACAAGCATGTGGCCTGGGGTCAAGACACCCACCGAGATGCTGAAAACCCATCAGATGGGAGAGTGTCTCTGAGACGCCCACACGACCCATTACAGCACTCCTCTGTTTGGCCAGGCGAAAGCCTTATCGTGATGAACTTAGCAAACGTGCTGCATGCTGTTTTGTCAGTATTAAGAAATCTCAAAGCTTTCCCGGATGAAGCTCTGAGCGGATGATTTACCCCTAAACTCGCTGAAGCCTTTCACTGATAAAGACAAATCACGATCCACAGACATGTACCTCAAGCTTCCCATTTAATACGCATTTAGAACGTGTCAGTTTACTCACATCAGGCTTGTTAACTTTGGGCCCCTGGCTGGAGTGAGATTTTCGATTACGGGCAAATTTGCACACACATTTACATGTATGTAACAGTTTTATTATCTTGTAAACAGTCTGTAGGGTTTTCAAAGTAACCCAACGCTTTTGCTGTGGCTAATTTTAGGTTTATAATGGACCGATATAAATTTGCCGTGAGATTTCTCGCATAAGCGTTAGAATCTGGCACGTGAGTTTGCAAAGGGTTGGCAACCCTGTCACATTCTGCCATGCATACTAACAAATTCTGGTACTCAAAACAGTTTAAGTTGCACAGTTTATGCAGGCCCGTCACGGAGAGCCCAGCATACAGTCTCATGACTATCTTTCCATCCCAGCATGCTTCAGGAAGTGGGAGAGAAATTCCAGCAAGAGGAATTTCACATCAACACAAGAGGAACCCGCAACCGTGGCCCCGGAGCCTCCATATTCATAGTATTAATTATCATTGCATTCAGCCCGACGTGATCGCTCATGCCTCCTCCTGCATCCACCGCGCTGATGCGCTCACACCGCGCTGATTCCCGATCCGCAGTGCTGGCACACAGAGTCCAAATTCACTGCAGCGCTCACAGAGCCGAACAAAGCTTCAGTGTGCTTAGCGTGGAATCATGCTCATTTCAGTTGCTAATGTAAAAATGTTCAGTGCTGTGGGACTTCATTTCTTCAAGGTGACCCTGCGTTTCTGAGACACCTCCGCCAGGGCCCAGTTCAGGGGCCCCGTGCCGGTGAATTCCATCACAGATTTTTATGTGTCACTGCTTTGTTTTATTATTATTATTATTCATCCCATTGATTTGGACACACATGTGCTCTAGCCAATTTGAGGTCAAAGTCTTTTCATGCATAACGGCAGATATTTCAGAAGCTACATGTGATTTTATTTGTGGAGCTGTGGATCAGAAAATGTGTATTCCGGCTTGCAGTGATACGCGGGAGGTGAGTAGACGATAATCTCACAGCACGTAAGTAAATAGACAAATGAACATGAAGTAATTTTAAAAACCCATACAGATTCACATGCCTGTGCAGCGCCGGTGGGCACGATCTTATAGAAGTAGCGAGTTGGGCTCATACCACTGAAGAGATGCTGCTTCTGTTCAATAATTGGCCAATAGCAGCAGAGCATTTCTGTGATAGGTCATTCCTGATCAAAGACCAGCTACGCGCTTGGGCCCTCCACTGACCTTAAGGTCAGCATACAGTAACTATTAGAGAGGTATGATCAAAGGTTGAGTGTGTCCATGTGTTGAAGAAAGAAGCAGAGAGGAGCCTTTTAAAGGGGTTTTCATTGCTATACTTTATATAAAGCATCAAAAATAAGTGGAAACGAGTTTTTACTGGGATGCTGGAATGTGGAGATGCTCACTGAGGTTTTAGGGGCTTTGCTGGCTGGCTTCACCTCCTCACTCCCCATGTTCTAGCTTGTTCCTCAGCTTTCCCGCACTCAATGTGGGAGACTGTGGTACGACCAGCAGAACTGTGGTACTGGCATACATCTAGGTGGTAATTAATGAATCAGGAGAGCTTCCCAGAGCTTCCTGCAGCCTGGATACCATATGATGATGATGATGATG